CAGCCCTCAGATCAAGCCGGGCTCAGTCCCGCGTAACCACGCCTCAGGACATTTCTCTCGACCCGCGTAACCACGCCTCAGGTCCTTACTTGCCTTTCTAGCCACACCCGCGTAACCACGCCTCAGGTTGGCAGCCCTCAGATCAAGCCGGGCTCAGTCCCGCGTAACCACGCCTCAGGACATTTCTCTCGACCCGCGTAACCACGCCTCAGGTCCTTACTTGCCTTTCTAGCCACACCCGCGTAACCACGCCTCGGGTTGGCGGCCACTCGAGATCAAGCCGGGCTTCGTCCCTCACTTTGGACATTTCACACTTTCCCACGACCCGCTCTCTGCGCCTCAGGTCAGCCCTCAGATCAAGCCGGGCTTTTCTCATGCACATGCACCACAATACAAAATTCACCATGCTCTTAGTCATATAAATCAATTTCAATCACCACCCTTTCACCAATGTCAATCTAGCACGCCACATCAGTCAACTCAATTCATGCTCCCCACATCAGTCCACCGACCCGACATTCATGTCGGCACATTCAATTAATTCAATTCACCCACAAGCGCCACAACCATTCAGTCAGGCATATTTATCTCAGTAAATCACTAAATCAGCCGCACAATTATCGCCACAATAATTCACCAATTAAGCACAATCAGTCTAATTAGCCCACACCTAATTAAAGTCCTAAGCCGGTACTAAATTTCACCCTAAACAAGTCTAAAAATACCCAAAGTACTAGGTAGGGTTTAGGAAGTCACTTACTTGGTTTTGGCCCGGAGAAAATCGGCTCGGGCCTAAAATGGCCCTGGTGAACAGTGCCGAACTAGGCGCGGGCACGGGCCAACGGGCGCGGTGGCCGGCCAACGCGGGCACAATGGCCGGACGGCGCGCGCTGGCGCGCGGGCGCGGTGGCCGTGCGGCGTGCCAAGGGGGCGCACGGGCGAACGGACGGGCGACGCGCCTAGTCGGACGGGCGACGCGCTGGTCGGACGGGCACGGCGCGCGGGCGAGCTCGGCCACGGCGCTCGGCCATGGGCACGGCCCTCGGCCACGGGCACAAGGCTCGGCCACGGGCTCGAGGAACGGGCACGGCGACGGGCGCGCGGCTTGGTCGCGTGGGCGGCAGCCGGCTACGGCTGGGGCTGGGCGGTCGGGCGCGGCGACGGCGGCGGCGAGCGAGCGGCGGCGGCGGCGGCGCGGCGGCGACGTGCGGCGGTGAGCTGAACGGGGGAGAAAGAGAATGAGCGGGGGTGAGGGTGAGGTGAGGAGAGAGGATCGGGGCGAGGGGAGAGGTGGCGGACCGGATGAGTGGCTGGCCGGCCAGGCGATGGAGGAGCCGGCCGCGGCGGCGCAACGACGGGGGCACGGCGGGCGGCGACGTGGCGGCGACTCGCGCGCGGCGGTGGACGGCACGGGGCGGTCGAGCTCGGGTCGGCGAGCTCCCGTGCACGAACAAACGAGCGGCGAAGGCGACGGGCCGAGGTCCGCGGCGGCGAGGCGCCAGATGACGAGAGCGGAGCAAGGCGGCCCAGGGCCGGGCAACGCCGGCCGAGACAGAGCGATGGCGGCGAGCCGAGCTCACGCGTTCGGGAGGAGGAGAAGGCGAGGGTCGGGCGAGGCTACCGGGCGACACGGCTGCGCGACGACGGCGCGGGGAGGACGGCGGCATCGGCGGCTGGTGGGGTGGCGTTGGACGGAGGCGGAACGGCCGTCGAACGGCGGTCGGCGAGCAGGGCACGGCGGAGCAGAACCAGACGCCCGCGAGGAACAACGAAGAAGAAGAAGAGAAGAAAGAAAAGAAAAGGAAAAAGGAGGAGAGAGAAAAGAGAGAGGGATGGGTCTGCATGGCTTAATGGGGGAGGGGACGTGCACGCAAGGGGGGGGCAGACGCGGCGCAGAGGAGAGAGAGAGAGAGAGAGAGAGAGAGAGAGAGAGAGAGAGAGAGAGAGAGAGAGAGAGAGAGAGAGAGAGACGTGCGCGAGAGGGACGTTGCACGGGGGTGGGTGGCGCGGCGCGAGAGGAGAAAGGAGAGAGAAAGAAAAAGCTAATATTTATCCTCGAGCGCGAACCAACGGACACGGTTCAAACTAAATATTATTCTAACTGTCGCGATTCAAACCCGGAAAAAGATCTAACTGTCCCCGAAAAATCCCAAACAATAATATAAGACAACGGGCCAAAATAAAATAACTCGAAACACACTACGAGGGAGGTCTACCAGTCCAAATTCGCACCCGGTCCAAAAATCCACTTTCTCACTATTCCTAATCACCTCGACGCTGGCCACAATAATATCGACACCGTCCAATTTATTTCGTCCCGAAGCTCTCGAAAATCGACTGCCAAGGTCAGGGTCTAAATAACGGCCAAATTCGATCGAATGCGATTCTAGCGAAATCTCAAGGTTTAAAAATAATAACCGGGAGTGATCAGTTCCCGGGCGAGATTTTTACTATAAGCGCACTGACGAAATACCCGTTTTATAAATCCCAAAAATGGGCCAAAATTCGGAATGTCACACTGGGATTATCGTCTTTAGGGACAATGAATCCCTCCATGTTGGTAAGGAAATTGGTGGTGAACTTCTACAAGCAATTGAGAACTCCAAGATCTACGTTCCCATATTCTCCGAGAATTATGCTTCGAGTGACTGGTGTCTCCGAGAGCTCGCATACATGGTCGAGTGCACCTCGAAATCGAATGGGAACAAAGAGATTCTGCCGATTTTCTTGAACGTGGAACCTGTTGATGTCAAGCTCAAAACAAATTTGTACAGACAAACTCTTTCAAAGCGCCAGAAGACGTCGTGCACGGAAGCAGAGTCATGGGAAAAGGCTCTCATGGAAGTGGGCAAGATAAAGGGATGGAACTGGAAGAAAAATGAAGGGTAAATATCTTGAACTTTTCAACTGTCATATGTAGATTATGTTTTCCTATTGAAAATATAGTTTATTCATCTAGTCAATTCCATGGAGTTTAAATAGTGGTTGGCGGCCATTGCCGCTAGTGCTATCGGCCACTAATTCTCACTGGCAGTGGCCAATAGTGGCTGCTATCGGCAGTATCGCCGCAATAGCTCCAGTCAATGGCACTATTGCGGTGGTAGCGCACCCTTCTCATCCTGATTCTCTCTCTCCTCTCGCTCTCCGTCTCTGACACGGTAGCCACGGACAATAATAGATCTCCGAGCAGCTCCACCAAGCTGTCGGCTAGCCACCGCAGCAGCTTGTCCGTCAGTTGCCACCACTTCTTCGTCGCCAACCCAACACCAAGCCACCAAAAGCCTCCGAGTCATCTGGCCCCCACACTTCTCTGTCTCACTCACTGTGGCGAACCGGATCCAGGATCTGGACGTAGAGTTTGATGCCACCGAGCCCATATCCGGCATAGCTAACCATGGGTGACCCCAAATCTGGTGTCACCCAAGGCCGATGACACCATCCCGGCGGTCGCAAGGCCATGACCCACGTGACGTGGAGAATTGAGGCAAGGCCGAGATGGGGGGTCAACGGAGTGCAGAGGGCAACGACACCGAAACGCAATGGTGACGGCGCAGGAGGCATTCTGGTGCAGGAGACGAGCGATGCCAACGGCGGCATGGAAGTGGCAGGGGCCGACAGTGATGGTGACTGAAGTTGGGGAGCATAGAGAGATTGGCAAAAATCAGAATCGTATTGGCGTCTAGATTTTTTTTGTGTAATTTCCTTAACATGTGAGGGCAATTTAGTCACTTTGGGAGTAATTTTACAATATAAAAGTTATCCCTAACATGGTTGTTACCTTATGGCAGCCAAGGAGATCTGATACGTTCCGTAATTCGAACGGTTTCGATTAAGCTGAAGGTTGCACATGAAAAAGTGACTGAACATCTTGTCGGAGTTGATGATCGTGTAGAAGCTATAATCAAAATGCTGGATGTGGGATCTAATAGCGTACGATTTCTCGGAATCCATGGAATGGGCGGTGTTGGCAAAACAACCCTTGCTCAGGTCGTCTTCAACACACTATCTTCTAGCTTTGAACGATGTTGTTTCCTTGCAAACGTTCGAGAATCATCAAAAGGCAATGATGGTCCGGTAAATTTGCAAAAACAATTGTTATCCAAGCTCGCTGGTTCTCGCTCTATCGATGAAATTTATCACGTGAATGATGGGATCAAAATTATAGAGAAAGGATTACTTAGAAATAAAAAAGTACTCATTGTTATTGATGACGTGGATGAGAAAGAGCAACTGAAAAGTCTTGCAGAAAAAGGTAATTGGTTCGGTTCTTGTAGCAGGATTCTCATAACTACAAGGGACAAAAGTGTCCTAACCGAAGGCCCAAATGTTTCGACTTACGAAGCATGTGAACTGGAATTTGATCATGCTCTTAAGCTTTTCAGTAGGCATGCCTTCAATAGAGACTCTCCACCAGATCATCGTGTCTCCCTTTCCGAAAAAATTGTCCATACTTTGGGAAAGCTTCCTTTAGCTCTTGAGATTACAGGTTCATTTCTTGTCGGTAAATCCGAAGAACTTTGGATCAACACATGGGAAAAGCTACAAGAAGCTCCTCCCAAGGATGTCCAAAAGAAATTGATGATAACTTATGAAAGGTTAGATCCTGCAGAAAGGGAAATATTTCTGGATATAGCTTGTTTTTTTGTTAATGAGGATATAACATACCCTTTCTATATGTGGAATGACTATAAATACCACCCACACGTTGCCATTGATGTCCTTGTTCTCATGTCCTTGATAAAAATCAAAGAAGATAGCACTTTCTGGATGCATGACCAAGTGCGGGACCTCGGAAGAGAAATTGTCCGTCAAGAGAATTTCAAACATCTTAGCGAGCGTAGCAGAGTGTGGAAATGTGAGGAAGCGTTGGGCATTGTAAAGTCGAAAGAGGTAAAAAGGGGAATGACAATTTATTTTCCTGCGAATAATTCTAGACTATTCTTGCAAAAGGAAAAAATTATCGCTAGTAACGCTTAAAATTGTTTGCTTTTGACCTTCACATGTGGATTTTTTTGTGTTTCCATTGTCAGGGAAGTAGGAAAATAGAAGCACTGTCAGTTGCAAAACGTGGATTATATCAATTTTATCTTCATGAAACTCTGAAGAACGATGAATTTGCTAATTTACCAAACTTAAGGTTCTTTCGAGGGTATGAGGTTTCCCTTGTTGGAGACTTCAATAATCTTCTCACCAGTTTAAGATGGCTTTATTGGCGATATTGCCCTTCCAAGTTTGAGGCAACAAACTTTCATCCGACTAATTTAGTCGTTCTTGAGCTTTCATGGGGCCATATTTCGGAGGAATGGATTGGCTGGGACCAAATCAGAGTATGATACGAGTCATGCTCCTTGCAAAAACATATCGTTTCTTTTGTCTTCTTTTTTTCCTACATGTCATTTGTTAATATATATATCTTATCAAATTGTTTTGCAGGAGGCCAGAAAACTAAAAGTACTAGATCTCAGCTATTGTAAATACTTACAGAGAACACCTGATTTATCTACGTGGGTGTATTTAGAGAGATTGGTTCTTAAAGGTTGTGGCAACTTAATTGAAATTGACCCATCCATTGGTAAATTAAAGCGCCTTACTGTTTTGAACTTGGATGGATGTAACTTTCTTCGAGAGTTGCCCGAAGAAATAGGTTGTCTACAAGCTTTGACAGAGATTGTCATGCCTAATACGCTACATAAACTTCCGGAGACGTTTGGTAATTTGCAGTCATTGTTGACCTTCGATGTACCAAATAGGCAAATCAACAAATTGCCATACTCGATTGGAGGGCTGGTGAAAATTAGGCAGTTGAATTTATCTGGGTGTACATACATAAAGGAACTTCCAGATTCGGTTGGGAAATTACAATCATTAGTCGAGTTGGATTTGTCATCGACAAGTATTGGTCACCTACCCGATTCAATCGGCAATCTAAAGCAACTGAAGGTACTAAGGATGAGAAGCATAGGAGGGATAACAAAATTGCCAAGTGCGATTGGGCTGGTGGAGAAGCTCGAAGAGTTGGATGCTCAAGGATGTTGCAGCTTGACCGGCGAAATCTCCAAAGAAATTGGGAGACTGTCCCGTTTGAGGATCCTAGACTTGTCAAACACACGTATATCCGGATTACCCACCACAGTGAGTCACCTCTCTAATCTCCAAATACTTAAGCTAGAAAAATGTCCCGAGCTGAAACAATTGCCGGAGCTTCCCCCAAGTTTGACTTGGCTGATATGGATCCCTTTTTATAGCCTGTTTTACCAATCGAGAATTGGTGCCCTATCTCAACAGGGAACACTTGTCAACACTCTTCCCACTAGCATCGGTACCCTATCTCAGCTTAAAATACTATCATTGTCCTGCAAATACGTGCAATTCCTCCCCCGGCTCCCGTCTAGTTTAAGAGAGTTACGACTTCAAGAGCTGGCCACCACACAATCACCTGATTTTTCCAATTTGAAAAACTTGTCAATCTTGACATTCTATCAATGTTCGCTAAAACTCTCGAGTGTATTTGATGCGGAGTCGGAGGAACTCCGTGTGGAGCTCTGTAAGCTTATAAAACTGGACTCACCGTTGCAGCCGGAAATGAAAAGATTGAGATTATTAGTGATGGATAGATGTGAGTTCCTTCCAGAAGTACTTGATCTGTCGCGCATGAAGAATCTATACAAGGCAAGTCTGACACTTTGCCGTTCATTAGTCGAGATTCGTGGCCTTGAAGAATTGGGATCCCTTCGCTCCTTATTAGTCGTCGGTTGTTCCTCCCTAGAGAGGATGTCAGACCTATCGAAATTGAAAGAGCTACGTGAGCTCATGGTAAAATATTGTCGTAATCTAAAATGAGTGCAAGGTCTAAACCACTTGGGGCCTTTAAAGGAGCGGAGAATCTATGGTGATGGAGAGTTTCGGGGGTGATACCTCAAACGCTGCCGCCGCGTCTGCCGTCATACACAAAATTCCCATTGGCGGCTCCGATTCCTAGATCCGCTGCATTCTCCGGCGGGTCACCGCGTCCTCCACCCCTGCTTCTGCCTCCGCCATCATCGCCTCTAGGAGCCCCTTGGCGGGTGCTGGTTGGAATATGGCAACACCAATTTCGCACCATAACTTGCAACTGGTAATTCTAAAATTGCACACCAAATGCTTGCGCAATTGCCTCTTTCCCTGTTCGAATCTGGATATGTAGTTTTGTTACGGTGGTTTGATGGGTGAAGTTTCTGGTGTTGAGCTAAATGGGAAAACTGTGCGAATGGACATCTTGGTTTTGATTTGATTTGATTTGGTCTGCAGAGGGTGGTAAAAAACCCACATTTCAAGAGAAGTTTGTGTTCACGCTCGTTGAAGGGCATAGGTAGTTGAATCTTGCGGTGTGGAACGGCAATATCCTCACTTTGGGCATGTACGATCCATTGAATCTATTCCTCTTTTCTTTTGCATGTAGAATTATGGATAAGGTTCAAAAGCAAAATAATAAAAAAAGAAAATGTTAGAAGATAGAGTACATAAGATGACCTTTGTGTAAGAACAGTGGTGTGGTTTCTCTATTTCACTCATTTGCAATAATAATGCTAGGTTCTAACTTTACTTTCAAAATTACATGCTGACTGCCAAATTATTGTTGTTGTCATCGTCATTATCATCATTAGTAGGTTTGATCGCTTGACCAATTTGCTGGAAACTTGGGTGCTTCATAATAGTGGCTGCATTTTCCATGTCCATTTTAGTTAGTCATTTGTGTGTTAGGGCTTGGCATGTCATATTTGCCAACTTTTATTGTTTTATTGTCTATGGATATACTATATTTTGTTTTCAGGTGAAATATGAGCTATTTGAGAATATTGGGAGTATTTATTCCTTTCAGAAGTAAAATTCTTGCACAATTTAGTTGTCCCAGTAGTGACCATTGCTGGCAATACACTAGCTCTTCTAGCTAGATTCTAATACGGTCAATTTTGCAATGGACCAAGTAGAATACTTGTCTTGGTGTGAGAACAAGCCCTTGGATTTTTCCTTTTTATTTTCAAGAATATAGTTGGGCACTTACTAATATTTGATCCGACAACTTTGAGATTGAAACATATTGACATGTCCAACCAATTCTGTAAGAATGACATGGACTATTTCCTGCAGCTGAAGTAATGGAGTCTTTACAATTTCCCAAGGGTGTGGGACGGGTGTTGTTCAGAATCCTACATACTGCCAGGTAAACTTCGGTTCCTAAGCATCCTTTTGTGGGTCATGGTAAGCTGAACTAATGTGGGATTTCCAAATTGTTGGAAATCATGTCACCCATGCATGTGCTATTGGAGCACTCATCTGAGTATTTTAGTATACTGTGGTACTAGTGAGTACTATGATTAGAAGGACGAATTAGATTTGTGCTATGTTTTGTTCTCAGATGGCTTATGTACAAAAAAGAGTTCGACACGAGCCATGTGGAATTCGTGAGAGATGGAGCAAAATGGTTGGTAGAGAACATAGAAATTAAACTTGGTAGGATTCATCCCTTTTTATTATTCTGATGCAATCTTAGTGAGAAAGCTCTTTTTCTCTTTTCTTTTTTTCTTTTTTGTTTGTGTGTGTTTGGTGGTTTGCTTCATTTTCATCTTATCTTCACCTTTTACCAAGACTCACTGATTTATAGTGTACTTCATGATGTTTCCTAATCGTTACCCAGAAACCATGTTAGGATATATTTCTCCGTTAGGTAGCTACCTTTTCTATTACCACCAATTTTTACTTGCAGCTTCACTACAAGCAAATGTTATTTTTCTTAGGCATGGCAACAAATGCATACTTTCATCTTATTTGATTTTCTCCTTGCCGACACATGAGTCGTAGTATGGTGCTGTAATAACTGTCAACATGAACACATGATATTCGGTTGATCTCTAAAGACATGGTTGTGTAAGAAAACGCTCAAGCATATGTTGCTATCAGGCTTTTTGAGCACTACACAGGTTCAATTTTCACTAAACCTCCCTCTTGAGAAATAGTGCAACTTGATCATCTATTTTCTTTCTTCTTCTGCAACTTGTAGATTATTACATGTCTGAGATTGAGATGCAATCTTGCATGACATAGTCTGTGCTATTCGATGCATGAATTGATTACCTGTCTGTTACCTCATATGATCATTTGATCCCATCCCATCGTATCTTCCTCGAAAGCTGGGTAAGAAATTGATTTGACGTATGACAAACTTCCCCATCAAAGTTAAGGATGACCATGTTTCATTGCTGAATTGCCATCTTAGACCTAAACTAGTGTTGGTGATTTTGCCCGGATTTCACATCGTTGCATTCTCATATGAAGTCTAGGTTCAAGAAATTGACACTACAGTAAAGCTGCAAGAAATTATTCTTGTTGAGGGCTTGAAACTCGAAGATGTACCCATAGGAGTGTATACAGTCCATGTCTGCCTTTGAGATTACTTGGTGCAAAAGGATCACGTATAAGATGCATGCTTATCAAATAACTTCTCCGAGTTTTGTTCTATTTGAGGAGAATTAATTAGACGACTGTTTTATCTATTATCATCATCACACGAGATCAACTTATCCCTGATTGGTTACCATAGAGGTGTCAATTGAAGATTCTTTTGTTGTTTTCGTGACTTTGCATGTGATAATGCCAGGTGCTAACAATATTTCTTCTTTTGTTCCAGGGGAGAGTAGGAGTTATCAAAAGTGCCAAGTGAGAAAGGCATTGCACGCACGTTCTCCTCAGAATTCAAATTTACTTTGACGGGACACGTTTTGCAGAGATTGTGGAACTTTAGCGATCATTTGAATATGTAATATTACTACTATAGGCAAAGCAAAGGCTATGGTTATGTTTACATAGATATTGTTATGCTTTCAAAATAAGACTCATTTGGATTGTTTCTCATGTTTCTTCTTTTCTGTTAATAAAGAGCTGCTGAGGATTGACTTCATTTGAACATATACTTGATGAGGCCCGCCGAAATTGGTTATAGTGACTCATGAACAGAAGCCTTTGAGAATCTGTTTGGCTATTTGAGAGCAGTTCTCTCCGGTAGAATTGTACATGACAAGGGCAAAAAAAATCATTTTTTCAAGTCTTTCCTATATTTATTTGCAGATATTTTTGTACATGACAGGCGTTTCTGGCGTGGTTTTAGATTGATTTGGCATTAGGATACGCCATTCTCTAGTGTTCTCTTGGTTGAGGTCTTATGGGGGCTGAAGTTTGCTTATATCACTGCAGTTCGATTTTTTTTTCCCTTCTTTTACTGTCCGGTATCTTCTGCGTTCTTGTGAACTATTTGATTGAGCTAATAGGGGTCTAATCTGACTATGTCCAAGTTTGGCTTGGTCTTACTAGTCATTTCCTGATTCACATTACCCTTTGACTATAACAATACCCGAAGATAGTGTTGCTCAAAGTCTTATCCAGGCTACTTTTTCTGCACCTTCAACAAGTAGCTTCTTTACATGTCCACTGTTGAAATATTGCGCCAACCTAATTTTCTCTCTTCTTTTATACTTCACTAACTGCATCTTGTTTTGTTCGGAAACCTTCATACAATCACAGGAGCACTTGGCACTAGGGGTGTCAGAACCGAACCGGAAAACCGAACCGAGATACGAACCGAACCGAACCGATCCGAAAATTTCGTGCATTTCGGTTCGGATCATCAAAATTAACCATTTTTTTTTCGGTTCGGTTTATTTCGGTTCGGTTCGGATCAGTTCGGATCGAACCGAACTGAAATAAACACTCTTCCTCTCGCCGAGACCATCCTCATTCCTCACGGCCCTCCACACCCTTCCTCTCGTCGCCGTCCCTGCTCTTCTTCTTCTTCCTCCCCATTGACTCGCTGCCGCCGCCGCCGCCGCCGCCGCCGCCGCCGCTGTTGCCGGTGACGACACTCATCTCTCTCGAACCCTAAACGCGGAACCGAACCTGTACGTCAAGCACTACAAGGGCGTCAATGGCCTCGAGAAGGTCGTCCTCCGAGAAGTCCGTGGCTGTTCCGCCGAGGTATCCGATCGATTCGCCCCCCGCCCCCCTCCACCCCATCGCTCGCGTCTCTATGAACTCTCATTGTTTCCAGGACGGGGTTTTGGGTCGTTCTCCGTTTCTGCTCGCGTTTTTTTCCCGTCGGAATCTTATTTTTTGCATTCTTGAGCTCCGGGAGCGCGGTGGAGTTTTAGGAGGTGGTCAGATCGAGCGCAATGGGCGTTGGATTTGGAGGCTTCAGATGTGGATTGGTCGGTTGGACGGGCCGATTCGTGCGTTCTCTCTCCATTTCTCGCAGATTGCGCGCGGTCGTGTCGTGATTCTGCGTGTTCTTTTGGTTTTTTCTTTTTTTTTGTATTGATGGTCCTCTGTGGTTGTGCTGTGCGATTTGATTTCTGGTGCGTTCGAGGCGGGCCGTTCCCTCGTGTAGTAGTAATTCAGCTATTATCGGCCTTTGACTGTAATTGCTCTTCGGTGAATGGTTTGTATGAGGAGGCGTTTGTGTTTTTCAACAACATGAATTCGAGGTCTGGTACGAGGCCTAATACGCTGAGAGTTATTAGTGTTTTGCCGGTATGCGCCGGTGTTTTGGCGGGGGCGTTGTACTCTTCAATTGTGTTAAAGGCACCTTTGTCTATCTGAGTTTCATTAGGTACCTGTCAGAGTTTGAGGTTTGAGTGAAATTTTCAGTGTTCAAAATGAAAGCTGCAAAGCATGTGGGTCCATGAAATGTTGCTCACTTGTTTTTGTTCAAATTGGAGCAGTTCCTTCCAACTGGCAGAGGCATGGATATGACAGGCCTATTTACACAAATATTCAGTACCCATTTCCACTTGATCCTCCAAACGTTCCTTTGGAAAATCCAACTGGTTGCTACAGGACATATTTCAGCATCCCTAATGAATGGAAAGGTATTAGTTGTTTGAATGCTCTACATGTTATATGTTTAGCTACTCTGAAGCTGGTCTGCTCAAATGAAATAACAGAATGTTACTGCTCATATATTTGAACTGTACTTCCGTTTGTTGTTTCACACCTGTATTCTCAGGGCATTGCTTGATATCTTCTGATGCTTTATTTGTGTATGTCTCATAATTGTTAAAGATTACTGCTTGGTGATAGAATCCACATGGAGAACTACTGAGTATGTCTGTACCATGTTAGCTAGCTCCTGTATTCATGTGGATCACGAGAATGCTGAATGACATCTAAAAGTTATGGTTTAAATTTCATACGCTCAACTTGAGCGGCTCAAGTGATTAGAGACCTAATAAGCTGAGCGTTGCTACATGAATGCAGTTGTTGCACGCCATGAAGCTGGTCATGCAGTGGTAGGCACTGCTGTAGCAAATCTGCTTCCTGGACAGCCACGGGTTGAGGTATATTCTAGCTATGACTTAGCTAGTCCTGGTCTTTTTGTCAGGGCCTTTGCTGTCGTGAAAATTGCATGGTTATACGTGGTGCCTAAGAATTTGATTGTTCTGCATATGCAGTGGGTTTTCTTTCTTAATATTGTTTAGTTTTTTCAAGCGAAGTTTTTAGGGAAAATTTAAAATGACGGTTTTCAGAATGGAGTTATATTTTGAGATCATGTTTTGCTGGTCACTAATGGGTTATATAGGCTGTATGTTTCTGTTTTTGCCCTTCGCCTTATCTTTTTTCTTTTCTTTATGGTACTTTAATGGCCACCCCTTCTATTAAGTATTTGCTTGTCATACAAAGTTTGTTAACTTGACACAGCCACTTGAATTATAATAATTTCAGGTTTTAATTGTCATAGATTGGTAGATGTCTACTTCAATGAGTGAATCTAGTGGCACAAATAGGAGGAGGACGAGATCTTCTGCGTGGGAACACTATAAAAGGACAGAAAACCCAGATAAAGCTGAATGTTTATATTGCGGGGCTATTATTGGTTGTTCTACCTCTCAAGGGACTAGTGCGATGCGTAATCATTTAGGTAGATGTAAGGAATTTCCATATGCGAACATTGAGAAAAAGGCAAAAAAGTGTCTCAGGTCAACTTGATGGGGTTGGTAGTTCTAGGTCATTTGGTCCATGGAAATTTGACCAAGAAACTAGTCGAAAAGACCTAGCAGCAATGTTCATCATTGGTGAATTACCCTTTAAGTTTGTGGAAAATGAGGCATTTCGGCAATTCGTGAGTAGGATCCAGCCGAAGTTTTCAATCCCCTCAAGGAACACATTGAGGGAGGACTGTTATAAGTTTTACTTGGAGGAAAGATGCAAATTGAAAAAATATTTTTTCGATACATCTCCAAGGGTTTGTCTCACAACGGACACGTGGACTTCTTGTCAAAATATGAGTTACATGTGTCTCACTACTCATTTTGTTGATGGTGATTGGAAGTTGCAAAAGAAAATCTTGAATTTTTGTCAAATCCCGGGACATTCTGCTGAAATTATAGGAAAAGCAGTGGAGAAATGCTTGACTAGTTGGGGGATTAGATACGTTTTTTCTATAACCGTGGATAATGCGAGCTCAAATGACTTGGGTGTTCAATACTTGAAAAAAAGACTCCACTCTTGGAACACTCTAATTTTGTCGGGTGAGTTACTCCATGTGAGATTTTGTGCTCACATATTGAGTTTGATTGTGAGAGAGGGTTTGAAAGATATAGATGATTCCATTGTTAGAATACGCTCAGCTGTGCGTTATGTGAGGTCTTCTCCTACGAGGTTGCAACGGTTTAAGGAGTGCATTGAGCTAGAAAACATCGAGTCCAAGAGTCTTGTATGTTTCGACGTGGAGACTCGTTGGAACTCAACATACCGATGTTGGAAGCAGCTTTAAAGTTTCAAAAGGCTTTTATCTTACTAGATATTCGGGATAGCAAGTTTGTTGAAGAGCTTTCCAAGGTGAGGGGGTTGCCTACTAGTGATGATTGGGAATATGCCTATCAATTTCTTCCTTTCTTGAAGTTGTTCTATGATACAACTTTAAAAGTATCGGGTTGTTCTTATGTCACTAGTAATAATATGGCGAAAGATGTCTATGGGATTTTTATGATGATTGAGAGATATTGTGTGAATGAGGATAGGAGTTTGCAGGAAATGGCCAAGAGAATGAAGACCAAATTCAATAAGTATTTTGGCAATGTGAACAACATCAATCTAACATGGTTCATTGCATGCATACTTGACCCTCGACATAAGTGGGAGTATGTGAAATGGATGATTAATCAAGTTTATGAAAGCAAGCGGGCAGAAACTTTACGAGATAAAGTCACATCATCTCTAACGTCATTGTTCGAGCAATACCGCACCGATATATGCCCCCAAAGCAATTTGAGGTCAAAGGGTACAAGGACAATGAACGTGTCAATGTCTCTTGTGGTTGGTGCGGACATTATGACTGCAATGTATCTTAGCCAAACGGGACAAGAATATTTGGAAGAAAAATCCGAATTAGATAAGTATTTGGAAGAAAGATGTGAACGCTATAGCGCTGACTTTGATATCTTAAATTGGTGGAAAGTCAATTCTTCGAGATATCCTATCCTCTCTTCCATTGCTCGAGATATTTTGGCCGTGCCCGTCTCAACTGTAGCATCAGAGGCTGCATTCAGCACAGGAGGTCGTGTACTTGACGTGTTTCGTAGCTCCTTGACCCCAAGCATGGTGGAGGCTCTTATATGTACGCAAGATTGGCTACAATCCACACCACTTTCACTTTCAATTGAGGAGGACTTAGAAGAACTCAAAAATTTTGAGTCAGGTGAGAAAAAATTATCGTAGAATATTTTATATCCTTTAATATTGTAATAGATACTTCAATTCTCATTTTTATTGTGAATTTAATGTAGAGTTGTCAACTGTGACCGCGGAGCTGAACTCGATATTGGTTTCCCTTGATGATTGACGAACAAAAGAGAAGTAGTCATCTCCTTGATGTGTAAAGAAAGCAAGTGAGTACTGGAGATTCTGTATTCTTTTTTGCAGCTAGTCCATTATTCGATTATTTTTAAAAAAGGAAGGCTAAAAAATTGCACATTTCTAATTCATCAACTGAAAAACCAAATCTACAGTGGGGTTGCAGAAAATATTTTGTCTCTCCTGGAGTCAGATGATGCCAATGTACGAATTCATGCTGTGAAGGTGGTGGCCAACCTTACTGTTGAAGATGGATTTCCATTCAAATCTAGTTGGTTTGCATATCCAGCTTCTATTGTAATGAATGCCATTTGAGTGCTATGTTTTGTGCTGTTACTTTCAGTGTTAGTGTCGTTTTAATGTTAGGAGAGATTGTAGGACTGGGATTCCATAAATTAGAACTGTCCACTCATGGTTGTATTATCTACTTGGAAAACCAATGTGTCTTTCACTTGGCCATTTATAAGAGCACTCTAGTCATTAAGATAAAAATCGACATCTCGACAACTTAGTCCCTTCAAGAGTCATTAGAAATTCCTTCCCCGTATTCTCTTCACTCCATTACAACAATTGTTAAAGAAGATTGCCTATTTCTGTCAAAAAACAATCAAGCTGCCAGTTCTACCAAAGAGGGGTCATGGCTTTGATTCTAGTTGTTTGATAGAAATAGGCGACCAATATTGCTAAGTTAGCTTTATTTCTGAAGATGAACAAACTGATTGATGAGAATTTTGAGGTTTTTCAATTGGGGATAATCTGGACAATATTTAGATCTCAACCCTTAGTAATGTTGGTTTTCAGTTAGTGCTGGACGTACCATTCCAAAATAGGCGTGGCCGACAATACTCTTTGTATAACATAGGAGCAATGCATATTTTCATAGATTCCCTGTTTTTAGTTTCATATGTTTGATGTTATTTCTCAATGCAAATTCTCATTTCACTCGCTATTGTGTCACAAAGTAAATGTTATTTCAATTAAGCAATGCGTGAATTGCCTTTCGTTTCTGCAGGACCTTGCTAACTGTCTAAAAGGCTGCAGGTTTCTCCCAAAAGTAAACATTGATCTCGTGGATTACAGAAACTCAACCTACAAGGAAAGATTTGCTAACTTGCAGAACCTAGTCCTTATTATGGTTAGTTTTGTATATGTTGTTGATTTTGGATCCTTGTCTTTTGCAGCTTTGTGATGCTAACTCTTTTTATTTCACTCTAGTTTGAGCAAGACACTGTGTTGATACCAAAGGAAACATCCTAGTTCGTATACTATCTAGATGAAACTTTTGATACTGTTTTGCCTACCCAAGACGTAATTGCTGCATTAACTTGAAATGCAGTTATCAGTGTCTTTATCGGTGCCATTGAATCATAGTAATTTTGGGCGATACTGATGGTCGCTGAAAAGTAGCGGTAAAGTATTTATGGTGGATGAGGGTGGAATCTCCTTGTGGTTCAGAAAGCATGCATTTTGAAAGGTTCCATTCTTTTGAGATTATTTCCTGTCCTCAAACCGATTCCATAATTAAGAATTTGCTGGAGGACTTGCACGCACATAAATATGTGAAAAATCAAGGGTGTAGAATATATAAAATCTCTGGTAACATTGATATTGACTTGGAATCAACTTGTTTTATTGCACTTTGCGCAGTCAACCAAGAAATGTAACAAAGAACAAGCTGAAACATTTTCTAAGCCCTAGATATGAATGATTAACCATGTTGAAAGTAATACTGAGGATTGTGAAAGCATTATCTTTACCAAGCTCTTACTCTACAATCTTAGGGTGTAGGAGGTGTATATCCATGACATGGTCTGGAATTACTTTTGGTAGTGATTTATGATTTTCATTTCATCATTGAGCATTAACTATTGACAAGTCGATAATCGAAGGAAAATTGCATTTACATGAGAAAAATGGACAAAAGAGAATGGGCGAATGAACATATTGTGATATTGTGTTGTCACTATGGTGTAAGCTCGTCATAACATGCTTTTACCCTTACTCTGCTGCAATTTGGATCCTTTTACCATTAGGACTGGATTGGATTGAAAAATAAAATAGAAATGTATCTAATCGATGCATTTCCTGCAGACCAAGCTTTACACCAAGGATTGGATTGGATTGAAGACCTTGGATGAAGCTGGGAAAGTCAAATTCATCAATGTCTCTAGGAACCATCTCCAGATCTCTGTCTTGCTGACATGCAAAAATATATAGTACCTTACTTGGTGGATGATGCAGCTTTAGCAAAGAAAATGGCAACAAGAATGGCTTCTAGTAGTTGGACCCCATGGGTTCAGGATTTGTATCGAAGAATGTTGAGGCAAAGATTGGTTAGGCTGTTTGAGGATCGGCCACTACTTCTCTTGGCAGTTACCTTTAGCTTCTGCTTAAAAATGTAAGATTATGACATACAATGTGATTTGAGAGATCAATTCAGGCAGAAACTGAGACGGTCAATGCAAATGAACTCCATATAGATTTTGATTTACATGTGACCTAAAGATAAAAGTAGTTAGGACTTGATCATTTGCAAAATATGCACAATGTAACTGGGCTCTTACACCTACTGTGTGAGTTAACCATTTTCACTGTGGCATATACTCTATCAACAAATATAGGTGGACCAAATCAATGGTTGAATTTTCATTTACCTTAATGAACTATACACATAGGTAAATGACCCAACAGATGATAGGATTTATACTACACAAATAAATAAAATATATGATCTGATTAAAGATCATATTACAATTTACTTATATACATTATAAGCTATAGTATACTAAATGTCCATTTAAATTTTGCATGCATTAGCTAATTCCAGTTTCTTGGTAACTCCTCTGCTTCTCCATGCAAATTTATTTTATGATTGCTCGCTCTTTCTAGCATCCAATTTTCAGTTCCTAACATGATAATGTTTTTATGGTGTTTCGAAATAATCCTCCTAAATTATGTTATGTAATTTGTTAATTTGGATATGACTCGATGTAAGAGACAATAAACAAGTTAAATTTGTAATTGGAGTTTTGATATGATTTGTTAGTAACATAAGTGGCAACAAATCGAAGTCATTTACTAACTATTCGATATCAAGCTGGTGTAGTTTCGTATCTCCATCTTCTGAGTTATCAGTCAACCCATCAAATGTATGCACACTGAGAAACTTACACATGAAACACACGATAGTAGTCCAACAAGATAAACAAGTAGTCATGAATGAAAGTTAAATCAGCATTCAGCACCCATAAACCTTCCATGATATGATGGTATCCAGCAAAGACTGCATGAGACTACAAACTGACATCAAGTTTCCACTCGTAATTTGCATGCAAACCTCCTGGATAAGGCAAGAAACATAACGACGCATATATCACAATTCCAAGCGGGGAGATTTAAGAGAGAAATCGAAATCAAGAATTGTGAAGAATCGCCATTGGGAAACTCACAAGTACCTGACATAGATGTCGATGGTTTTGCTGTTCCATGATCTGTTATGTGCCAACTAAACTATTTCTTACCACCACCAGCCTGGAACTCTTGTTAGTTGCTGCTTTGGCAATATATTCAGGGGTTTCCTGTTGCATGGATGACAATAATATACACATTGTATAAGTGACATATACGTATCGTAAAATGAACACTAAAATGCAATTTGCCAGACAAGAAGTACCAATCTCATTCTAACATAGAGAGAAAACTTCATCCATCTAATAAAAATTTATACAAATCTCTTCCAAAATTGCAGTACCATAAGACATGACCCGTTTTTTAGGAAACGAAAGCATCAACTTGCTTCCAACAATGGGCAAAAACAGCATCTACAAGTCAGGACTTGCTTAATAAAAAGGGTTCTTGCATCCACCATCATTTAGCTCCATGTCGGGGGGCAGACAACTCTCAACGGCTGTTTGAAGTTCCTCAAACCCAAGACCATGGTTGGCATTTTAAAGTTGCCAAGGAACCTGTGCTGGAGATTTACAGAGACTTGTGTAGAGCATGTCTTAGGCTTGAACGCCAGATTGGGGGATTGAAGTGTGCATTTGCTTTCCTGTCATCCATTGCAATTATGGCTGTTAATCAGGCCGAAATTCTTAACAGATCCGTATAAGCACGCTGGTGCTTTTGTTTATCTAATTGATTTCATGAATAGGATGATGCAACACCATTAGCACATCTGTAAAGTTATATGAGACTAATCGGGCATAAGCAGCAGGGGCATGGCAACACACTACCGTTGATTTACAACACTACCACAAACAGTTTTAAAATGATCACAAAGATCTAAAAATTTGTGCATCGCTAGGGCAATCAATGGCTTATGAAGTGAGTTAAAGGGAGTACTATTCATCCATCAAAAGTTGCATCTGAAGACATCTCTTTGCTAGAGCAATGTGTGACATTACACCTTCACATACATTAAAAGAAGGTAAATTCTAGGTGCTCAGTACTCAAATATATCAAGATGACATACCTTCCTCTTAGCAGGTATAGATAGATTCTTAGCTGGCTTAAACAAGGATTCTAATCTGTAGAAAATAAATGAGGAATCATCGGATGAAAGAAAGTGCATTTTGGAAGTCACTTCCATTTATTCACGCTTTAGTTACCGGCCTTGTGATGACTCATCCTTAGCTGCCTTAATCTTCTCTATCGTCTGCTGCACATGGTAAAACAACATTGAAAACATGTATGCTCTCTCCTCCAGAGGAAAAGAAGCAACTTCCTCGAGTAGGCAACTGACCAACACATTACTGAAGATAGAAGCCATACCTTTGTCACTCTGTCAATGTTGAACCCATTCTCATTCACTAGAAAGGACATTAAGCCCTTGAAAGGGAAAGAACAATCAATTAGAAAATGAGTCAAGAATTCAAAAGTGAAATGTTGCAAGTAAATCCCAACATGAAAATGGCCCACTTCATCATTTGGAGCAGTCCATTTTATCTCAGGTTGTTCTTCCGTAGAAACTATTGGTTCCTTAAAAAGCAGTCGAGCTTCGCCATAGGGCCAATTATCGGGTATCTGATACCTATTCAAAAAACAAGCAAACATTTCCTTAAGAAGGATAACTTAACTGAATAAAGATTTCCAAGTAATGCAAAGAACCTCCGGGTTGGTCTTAAGGATAGAGAAACGAATTTTGTTCAAGTGAGAGCGAAAGAATAGACAAAGCAGACATCATAATAGATAAAAGTATTATAGTAAATCAACACATGAAGTAGCATGGTTGATGCACTGATTGCCAGCCCAAATCTATTGGTGGCAAATGATCTTTCAGTTTCAAAGTGTTGATCAAATATTTCCGCTCCAGCTGAGTTTGAGAGATAATTCTTTTAAGTGAAGGAATCAGCAGCCAAGACAATTACAGTGAGAAACTTTGCTGCCTTATTTTGCTTACAAGTCGGGGGACAAGATAAGAGAATAAGAAGCACCTTTGCTTGTTTATGTTCTCTAGTATGTTTTCTATGGAACCATGTTGACGGATGAGCTGAAGAGCAGTCAGCCCTCCAATACCTGATAAATTCATTCCAAAGTAAGCCACTGAAATCATCAATCTAAAACATATGAGAGGGCAGAATGATATACGATAGCATAAAACAGTTAACAGAGCACTGCAATAATATCACGTCTACCTCGAATGCTTTCACAATAGTCACATCCAGAGAGAATGCAAAGGTCAATGAATTGATCCATATCCAGATTCATCTCCTCCAAGATCTAAAAGTCATGAAAGTGAGGAAAAAAAAATTTAAGCAATCGCAATGAATAAACTTTTCTAAGTACCCTGGAAATTTCAAATTCCATGACTGGAACTTTTCTTGAGCTGGGATCCATAAAATGGCGAAGAAATCTAGGAGCTCCAAAAGTAAGGGAATCCATATCTTCAGAAGCAACTGCATAAACCTGAAATACAAAAATTACATCTAAAACACCATTCGTGATAGATGAATTCTGGTTACCGCACAACAATTAAGCAATGATAGGAATTCAAAGTCAGCGAAAATTCCTTGGACAAAGATGATTTAGTAAAGAACGTACCAAATGTAAATGACTACGCAGAAGAAGACATTAGACAAGTGAAAAAGCATAAGTTCAGTGAATCCTGTAAAAACTTCTTTCAAGGAAACAAGTGACTATGCAGAAGAAGACATTAGACAAGTGAACAAGCATAAGTTCAGTGAACAAGGAAATTAAATCATGGAAACAAGATGGTAATTTACATAGAGTTAAACGATTGGTTATCATGGGAAACAATGAACTATCCTAAATCAGAAGACGATCAAACAGGAAGATACTTGCCTTTCCAGCTTTGCAAAGTGCAGCACATTGTGCTTCTGCTTCTGAAGGAGCCTAACATACAAAACCTGAATTTGATATCTAAACTTTTTGTTAGAAATAAAAAAAAAGAACAAACTTTTTCAGACAGAATAGTAACCTCAACTAGTGGGACACCCATAAGTCTTAGTAGTCTTTTGCAATCTTCATTGTGCTGTTGTGTCACCTGCAAGGGTATCAAAGCCATGTACCACAAGTCCACACACACCCAGTTAGCTACGTAGATAGGTTCTTCTGGAAAACAAAGACAAAATCAAACTTCACATCGAACAGGACAAAAAGATTGCACTGTAAGGAAGTGATCCAAACAAAGACAAACCTTCACAGTTCTTTTACTGAATTTCTCTATGTCTTGCTTGTTCTGAGACTGCAGGCAATAAATACAGAGTTCACTAAGCCTTTTTGTACTCTGTGCCTGAGAGAGAGAGAGAGAGAGAGATGCACGTATACCGCAATGGCTAATGCCAAATCCTCAGAGGCATCTGCCCTCTTCAAAAAACTGCTAAGACTCATTAAAGGTAACTAAACGTATTCATAGATACTTTAAAAAAACGAGAGAATAGAAGGCTACATAATAATAAAGTACCGTTTTGCAAGCTCTTGCTTCTTCAAATCAGGAGGTTGACCATCAAACACGTAGCTATCGTAACAACAGCAAAGCATAATTCAGAGAAAGATGAGCTTCATTCTTCTTAGCACTCTATCCCAATGAAAACAGAGGAGGTAAAGAAAAAGACTTACACTGGCTGTATCCCCGCTTCCAACAGCCTAATCGTCCGGTAAAGCATGCCTTGCAGATGACTACATGGGAAGACAAATCAAAAAGCAGCTCAAAGTCAACACTTCCCAAGCATAAAGATCACATACATGAAACCGAGTCCACGCAATAACATCTGAAGCATCAAAACAGAAACTTGAGCCAAGTGGATTTTCATTTCTTTGAAGAATTGCGATGCCAGTAGCAGTACCTGGTGACTTGACCAGCCTCATTGGTGAGCATCTGAGTCCCCTTCCTCCCAACCACAATCTAATCCACCAATCAAAGACCGAAAAACCACCAACACTCAAAATCCAATCTCCACCGACACCGAAACGTGCAATCAATCACAGGCATCAATCCATAAAAAGCAAAGCACTTAACGAGGAACTGATAGATGCTCATGCTGGCATCGATGGCGATCCTCTGGCCGGAGTAGCTCTCCAGCTTTTGCTCCCTCATCGCCTTCGGGGCATTGTCCGCCAGTAGCTTCGTCAGCCCCTATCGAAATCAACGGACGATTCAATTAACAAACATATTGGAAATGATCGGATTGAAGAAGAGGGAGGTGGAACTACCTTGATGCCCATTTCCGGAGAGAGAAGAGGATTGCAGTGGAAATTGAGGATGAAATTGAATTCTAGGGTTCGAGCTCTTCCGTCTTCCCGCCTAATTTGGAGACCGGCGCGTGTGGGTGGAGAGCGTTGGGAGTCGTGAGTGGGAACGCTGTTAATGTCCGAATTTTCACGATAAATAATAATTTAAGAGGGAGATTTGGAATCGATTCTCTTTATAGGTGCTCTTGGCCTATTTGGATTAGCAACCGTTATGACACGTCATGAAAGCACACCGCGATATGTACATATTAAACAATGGGTCGTCATCCTAGGAGTTTCCAACGTCCCATTCATTTAATAATAAATTTTAAATCGGAGATCCATCGCTTTAAAAACGAAGGATATTAAGAGAAATTAGGATAAATAGTGAAGGTGATTTTTGAGCTTTTCTTTATTTTAACCATATCAGATAAGATTTAAAAGAAAAAACCGAAGAGTTTGATGTATACAAAATTTACGTAATATCGTTGGACATCCAGATTACATGAATTGTGCGAATTTCATACCGAGTCCCACTGTTAAACACAAGTTTTAGCATAATTGTGATTGATTTTATCTAGTCGCGTCACTTATAATAAGTCTATACGGCATTTTCACGGTAAATAAGGGTCCATCATCCTGCAATGCTAGATTGAGGAAGACTTCGAACTTCGCCAGTCTTTTCTTTTGTCCCTCTTCTTTTGAGTAGGTATTCGTCGCGGGCTTTTCTCCCTTATCAATGAATTGGAAGCTCTTGATGTTTCAAGCAATAAAGCTCTCGGGAAGGATCCCTCCGGAAGAACAAACCCAACTCACTTCCCTAAGCTTTCTTCAATGTGTCAAGACAACCATCTCTCGAGAGTTACTATTAGCATTTTACGTGATTTTCAATCACCTTCGAAACAACAATAATAAACGTGAAAAATCTTATTATTGCGTAAACATCTCTAATACATCATATTAGTGATTGTTACTATGAATTCACATGAATTAACTATTCCGAAAAATGTGGGAGAAAAAACCTCGAAAAGGAATTGGTCTTGCATATCTTCGTCGAGTCGACGTCATTAGCAATACTTGAGAAATCAATGAATAAATTTTAAGACGTGTGCATGCACTAACTGTGAACGCTACAAATCAGGAAATGGTTGTGTGGTATTATCAGTGAGACAAATGTTAGAACTCAACCAAAATGAACATTTCATCAATTGCCGTAGTATAATAATAATAATATTTAAAAGAATTTGGTCTTGCATATCAAATTATAGTCCCTTTTTAAATAAATGAATTATGGTGGTGAGAATTGACTTTTTCACAATAAACTTTCAAGGTTAAATATTTAGATTTGCTTTCGAAATTCACAAACGAAGAAATGAGTCAAAAGTTGCCTTTTTAATATTGAATAACTATAGAAAATTGATACAAAAAATGAATTTTTACTACCTAACAATGCTGACTAACTTAATCGAACTAAATTCCCAATCATGCCACATCATCATTTCACTATTCACCATCCAATCATTTTAGTACATATAGATTCAACGAGTACAATGAAATTTACTCTCCACATTTTATATGAAAACAAGTAAAGTTGGTCTCGAGATTTATCTTTTAATGAAACCTCTGATCCTTGAGCTTTTGTATAAATGCATCGTCCATGTCATATCTAATTGAACAATTGATTCAATTAAATCCCTAAATTTGTCTAATGTACGCCGTGATTCCTTATCTTTTAATTGATTACGTTCCTAAACTATTTTAAAATGTTCAATATCATCTTCATTTTAGTTATTGCAAGGATGGAATCTGTGTAATGTCACTTTCTCGTCTTTCGCTTGTTAAGAACAATTGGTTGTTCTTTACTTTTCTCCAAGCTTTAGCTACTAATTTTGAGCTGAATCTTGACATCTAATTTTTCATGCAAAGACTTCCAGTTCATTAAGGAGAAAACTAGGATCGAATTTGATAGAGTTTGATCCTAAACAAAAATATCAATCTTGCATAGTCTTGCATTTGCAATTGTTACTCTATTTCTTTGCATTTAGATGTTAGGGACATTTAAATTTTGCACACAAAGCATTCGCCTCGGACAAAGCATGGATCCGGCTACGGGTTTCTTTGGGATTGACCCAATAGATGGCTTACCAGGTGAAATGAGTCCTGAACTCACTTGAGGTTCCAAAACTGAGCCCGCGCGAGCCCGGCCCTAAGCTAATCAAACTCGGCCTAATGAAGGGAAAGGAATGAGGGAAATTCCAATTAGCCAACACCCATTTTCCAAGCCAATCCCAATCTGGACACATAAGATGGAAGGAAGCTCTTGTTCAGCTGCACTTGGAAGAAAAGGCAAAGGAGAATCAAAGAGGGAAAGGAACGTGCAGTTTCCATCTTGACAAAGGGAGCAATCTCGGCATTCAGGGACCGGAATTCACGGCCAATAGAAAACAAGAAAATCTGGGCATAGAAAAAGCAGAGGATTCTCAGCATATATTCATCGCCAAACAGAGCTCGAAAATGAAAAGGACGGAGCTTTTCTCCACGGCCAAGAAAGAGATATACAGAGAGAGGGTTATGGTCGGCAAAAGAGAGAAAACTTTAATAAAAAGAAGAGAAAAAAAGGGAAGTGCTCGGCAAAAAAAAAGGGAGAAAAAGAAGAACAGAGGAGGCAGATTGTCGAGGAGCATGTGAATAGAAAATAAGGAAAAGAGAGAGAGAGAGAGAGCTGTCGGGGCATGGGAGAGGAAGCTACAGAGACCAAAAGATGCAATTTCACCGTAAGTTCGTTTAATTTACTTTCATAGCATCTACATTCCCTCAAAGTTCACTTTTCCTGTGGACTTTAATTTCCAAGAATTTTACTCCTTACAGTTAAATTTCTCCGTCATTTCATTTTACTTCGAAGCCCGGCGCACCTTGCACTTGGAAAAAGCCAAAAACAAAATCAAGTTCGGCAGTGTTTTGAAGTTGAACAACGTTTGTTCAAGTTAACAACCAAACTATTAAAAAAACCATTTTATCTTAAGGAAAATGGTTAATACCACCAAAAACCTCAAACTGGTACTTCTGCGATAAATTTACCAAAAACTAATTTTTTAATCACGAAAAACCCCAAACTAATATATCTACAACAAATTTACCTAAAGCTAATTTTTTTATTACGAAAAATCCTAAATTGGTACATATGTGACAAATAAACACCTATGACAATTTGTTAGGATGAATGAAAAGGATATTTTGGATACAGCCCGCTGGGTCTAAAGGTCGGAGTGATATTGTTACACTTCGAAATCGTATCCGCGAAATGGAAAAACAAAAGAAGATGCAGCAGGAGAAGAAGCAAACTGCCCATCCGGACTGGATCGGTAATATATATATAATTTTTAAGAAAAATTTCAACTAAAAAAAAAGAAAACATTTTTAAAAAATTGAAAACCATAAAATCCCTAATTTGAAGCTCGACTCTCAACTCCCATCAACTCACGACTGCGCCTATAGCCGTTCATCGCCTTCCTCTTTCACTCTCGGTCACCTCCATTTGCATGAAACTTTATGGGACCAGTTCCGTGGACCCACCTGGGAACCGGACCGGACTGGAAGTCTGGTTCCCGGGTGGATCCATGAAACTAACGAGCGGTTCCCGGTTCCAATTTCTCGGAACCGGTCCTTAGTGGGCGGTTCCCGGTTTCATTTTGGGAACCACCTGCCCGGACCAAGCTCACCTCTATTGTACATGTATAAAGGAATAGCGGAGGAGAGGAGAATCTACTAGAAAATCCATCATCCCCATCACAACTCGTATGGAAGAAAGAATGAGATAGAAGAAACACCCCTCCCACCCTTTATGTTTATCTAGGAGAGGAAGTTACTCAGATCACCATTTTTTATTTACGTACCGAGTCATACCATACCACACGCCCTCTGCCTAAGTGGGAGGCTAAGTGATCGGTTGCCTATATCGTTCTATGAAACAAAACATGTGAACAATACTACCAATAACTCATATTATATTGCAAGAACCTGAGTTAATTAGAGAAATCACGCCACTATTCTTACACAAAGCTCATCTTATCTACTCCATCTTTTGACATTTTTTTTTTTTATATTTTGCTTTTGAACCTGATACACAATTCTACATGCATAAGAAAAGAGGAATGGATTCAATGGATCGTACCTCTCGATTTTTAGTCTGAAGAGGCCAGGGCGTATTATTGAAAGCTTTGAGAAAGAACCTTATGGAGCCGAACCCTTGAGGCCATGAAAACACAACTAAGATAAGAACACTAACCACTCAAGGACCAAAATCCAAAACAACTTTTAATTTTGTTAGCAAAATGGATTCAGGTTGGAAGTAATTACTTTCCGCTGCCGATGAATTCGTCGAAAGTGAGGATATGGCTGTTCCACACCACAAGATTCAACTCCCTAAGCCCTTCAACAATGTGAACACAAACTTCACTTGAAATGGGGGGTTTTACCGCACACCAAATCAAATCAAATAAAAACTAAGATGCCCATCCACACAGTTTGCCCAATTAGCTCAACACCAGAAACTTCACCCATCAAACCCTTGTAAAAAAACTCCATATCCAAATCTGAACAGGGAAAGAGGTAATTGCGCAAACATTTGGCGTGCAATTTAGAATACCAGTGCAAGTTCTGGTGCGAAACTTGGTGCTGCCATTTTCCAGCCGCCAATGGGGCTCTAGGGGCAGAGGCAGCGTCGACGCGCAGCAGAATGTGGCGGATCGGGAGCAAATGCTAGAGAGAGAGAATTTTGAAAAGAAGAAGAGAGAGAGCGTCTTCCTCGTTCTTGACGATAGGGGACCCAACAATTTGAAATATCAGAGAGAATTTGCAGATCTGTCTCGATGGGACCCACTTGCTGATACAATTCAAAAAAAAAAAAATAGAATAGAAAGGGCAACTAGACGATCAGCCCAACTAATGTCGTCGCGAAATCCGATCGTTGTCTTGTGTTGAAATCCCGCGAAGGATTTCTTCAGAGACAACAATCAAAAAACTGCACAGCATCGTCCAAACAACTCAGCCGCACCAAAACCACCTCAGCGACATTCCAACGATTCAACCTTATACGCCAAGTCAACAACATCAAAGTAAGCAGCGTCGAATAGGGGCTGGTGTTTGAGGAGTTGAATTGTATTGCTACCTTTGTTGCGGTTTACTTTGATGTTGCTGAGTTGGTTTTTGAGGGGTTGAATTGTTTGAATGATGCTGAGGTGGTCTTGGCGCAGCCGAGTTGTTTGCATGATGATGTGCAGGTTGTTTGATTGTGGTCTGTGAAGAA